CAATAAAATACACAAATATTCTCATGTTTTCATATCTGGTTTGCCGTCTATTTTGTAAATCTATTTAACACACACTCTTATCTTCGATATATAAAAAAAAAAAACATAATGCAGGTTCCATGCAAATTTCATTTGTTGAGTACTACTATAGTTCAATAGGTCTAACTAAAGAAAAAAACAAACAAGGAAAGATCATTTGTATTTTTCATCAATTTATTTTTTACATGGACAAATGAGTATTTAATAATTCAGGTTTACAGGTCCACACTGCAGCTGCACATCTGATGCACAAGGAGTTTATTCTGAGGCTGAAATGGGAAGGTTGGGTAGGACGCTGGCCCAGAAATGCACATGACGCGTTCTCATCTTCTGTCTCACATAGGCTCTGTTCATATCATGATGGATCTCCACGTACTGGTGTCCAGTGCTGGTGAACTGAGGCCAAGGAGTGGGCACACTCTGACCTCCTTTGTTGGGGTCCCTGTGGATACAATTGGGAAAGTGCAAAACATTTAAGACAGTTTTAGGTTTCTACTTGAATGTCTAATTCAGGTCTGTTTGAATTCTGTGAATCTCCTATGTCTTGTATCTGCAGAAATGTTACCCAGTTTTGGCGAAGTTGGTCCAATAGGCGATAATGTAGCCAGAGACGTGACGGTGGCGGGGCCAGTACCCCAGTGGTGAGGAGAAAGGCTTTCCGAAAACGTACTGCAGGTCATCAGCGTGGTCGGCTCCCATCCAGCTGGGGTAGGGCCTGGCAATGCCTCCCATACGGCTGGGCTCAGAGAAGAGGTAGGAGTAGGTCCGGCCAGTTCTTTGGTGAGGCAAGGAAAAAAAGGTATGTAACAATGACTACACAACAAAAAAATGCTTAGAAATCCACAAGTGCAGTTTTCAAAAGGGACAGTCGAAAATAGCACTAAAGATTGTGAAGAGCACATTATTACTCGCTTGTAATACAAAACAATTTAAGGATTTTGGAGATTACTAGGGACATGACCAGGGACTAGGAAATCAAAATTACGATGCGGAACAAAAGGGCTTTTAAATAAG